CAAATAAACAAGGGGCCGCGCAACCGTCCACTCGTTCCAACGCCTTCCACTTATTCGTAGCCAACTACATTCTACGTGTTGGTCAAGTGTGGAGAGTCCAAGTCCCCACAATGCTCTCATCCGGAGTCAAGACCGTGAATAGACCACGAATCCCTCGTGTTACCTATCTCATTTCATCTTAGTATGCAAGGCATACACGGGGCATTGGTTACTAACTTTGTTACATTATTTCATTACCTAGGTATCATATGGTGCTGCTTTGACAAATCTCGGGGATTTGCTTATCTTTGTGATTCTGGTGACAAGTTCCATGATGTTGAATGGTTTTGGTAATGGAATGGATATTCGGCACCATGATTGGGATGACCAACAGGGGGAAGGTACCTTGGAAGCGGCATGAGATTTTAGAGCAAGGTCCCTAACGCCCTTCACTAGAGAAGATGTGGAGAATGGGGTGGATTCGCTGAATATGGGGAAGATTTTCTCCTATATTTTAAACATGTATCCTCGATTCGAGTTGAAGTATTTGTGCTCATACACTCATTCTTTTCTTTCTTCCGTTACGAGTTCCTTTATTTAAGCATCTTGAAGTCTTGGATGGGTGGTTTTGCAGTATCAAATCTCTTTTGATCTCTCAAAATACTAAAGTTGATTTAACGTTGGTTTGTGTACCATTTGATATCAAACTTTCAGATCAACTTGTCTTGAACGAAACGATACAATGGCAATCACAGCAGGCGCTATTGAGCGTAAAGATTCAAACCCCAGTGGTGAATTCTCTGAAACCATCGACCATGCAGCAACTCACGCAACTTATATTGAAGCAAATGAGTTATCTGAAGAGCATAGACAATATCTTCTTGCACGACATGGAACTCTTGATTTAGATCCTTTACCTGGACCTAGTGAGGCTGATCCCTATAATTGGACCAACTCAAAGGTATCTATCCAACCCATCTAATCAATTCCCCTAGACTTAGCTAACAAGAAGTATAGAAAGTTACAAATCTTGTACTTGTTGCACTCCATGCATGTATGTCAACATTTACAGCAGCAGCCATTATTCCAGCCTACGAAAGTATCGCAGAAGAACTAGGTGTATCACTTCAACAAGCTTCATATCTTACCTCACTTCAAATTGCCATCTTAGGAGGAGCTCCCCTACTATGGAAACCTCTATCCAATACTTTCGGACGAAGACCCCTATTTCTCATATCACTTCTTATTAGTTTGGTTGGAAACATAGGATGTGCTAAATCTCCCACCTATGCCACTATGGCACTTTGTCGTGCCATTGTTGCATTCTTCATTTGTCCCGCTGGAGCAATTGGCAGTGCCGTGGTCACAGAATCATTCTTCAAGAAAGATCGAGCTCGTTATATGGGAATCTGGACACTTATGGTTACGATCGGAGTTCCATTTTCTCCCTTCGTCATGGGCTTTGTCGCCAATCACGTAGGATGGAGATGGATTTATTGGATCTTGGCAATCATGAACGGAGTCCAATTTATCGCATATGTTTTCTTGGGTCCAGAAACTAGATATCTTCGTCATGGAGTCCAACATCCTAAATCTTCTTTCAAAGAAGAGTACCTCACTTTTCATCGAATCGACCCTTCACCACTTCGTGTCTACGATTTCGTTCATCCTCTCACTCTCTTCGCGAAGCCATGTATTGTCATCCCAGCAGTTGCATACGCCATGACCTTCCTCTTCGGATCAGTCCTCATTACCGTCGAACTCCCCCAACTTTTTGCCCAAAAATTCGGTTTCAACGCCCAACAACTCGGCTACCAATTTCTCGCTCTCATCATCGGATCCGTCATTGGTGAGCAACTAGGAGGCAATCTCTCGGATTCCTGGATGAATCGCAAGGCTCGCAAGACGGGTATCCAGCCCGCTCCCGAACATCGTTTATGGTTAAGTTACGCTGGATTCGTCCTCACCATTGTCGGAGCCGTGGTCTTCCTCGTCCGCACAGAACAGGCAAAGGAAATGCATTGGAATATCACACCCGTGATCGGCATCGCCATTGCAGGCGTGGGAAATCAAATCGTCACGACGGTTTTGATTACTTATGCGGTGGATTCGCATCTTGAGGAATCGGCGAGTATCGGAGTGTTCATCACGTTTGTGAGACAGATTTGGGGATTTATTGGTCCTTTTTGGTATGTTTGCTCTTCCCTTTTCCTCTTGATTTTCTTTGGGGGAATATCGCATCTAATAGAATATTAGGTTCCCATCCATGTTCACCAATCTTGGGCTCTCGAAAAGCGCAGCGGTGGCAGCGGCTCTGCTTATCGGAGTCAGTATCATACCCACGTTCATCGTGCAATTGATGGGGAAGCGATGGAGACCATCGCGTCCTGCGGATTTGGCAGGAAGAGTGGCGGATCGGGAACGAGGCGTCATGGTTGCGGATGCGAATGAGAGTGTGGGTGGGAGTGGCAATGGAGAGATGAAATAAATGATTAATGATTTGTATATTTATGGTGTTTTTTTATGAGTCGAATAAATGAATCCATAAATGGAATGGTTTATTCGAGATGGGGAGCTTTGCTGAAATTGCATGGGTGGATATTCTGGTACAAATCTGCTGAAATGCATATGTGTAGGTGTGTATATGTATAGAGAACTGTCGGTGATGAGGTATAAGGATATAGTGAAGTGTAATGTAATGTAATGAAATGAGTATAAATATTCTAGATATGAATATCAACGTCAACATCAATACCAGCATTGATATTTACCCCGCTCCCCCAACGTTCCCAACGTTCCCAAAGATCTCAGCCTAGACCTCCCTACCTCCTCTCTTTACCTCGTTAGTTCTTCACTTCTTTACTCCGATCCTTAATACTCTATTCCTTGATACTTCAATTCTAGAAATCTCTCATCTATCCTTATAAACACCACACAAGTAATCTTACAATAATCAAATCATCCATGGATAAGTGAATATCAGATTAGTCTCTATAATCTCTTTAGTCTTTATAATTCATATAACATAGTTTAACACCGAGTGGCCTATATCATTAAGTGGCCCACTTTTATTTCAATTTACATCTTTCTCTTTTAATATGCATTTTATCAATAACTCATAATGAATTCAAATAATCAAAAAGCTTGTATACTCCTTATTATTAAAGCTATTTATAAAGATAAAAAACTAAGTATTCAAAAAGCTGCTATATTCTATAATATCTCTTATATAACTTTTTAATATAAAATAAAAGATTTATCTTTTTATACAAAAACTTGAGCTAATAATTATAAGATTATAGAATTAGAAAAAGAAATGATTATTCAATATATATTTGATATAGATTTAAAAGGATTTTTATTTAAATTAAAGAATATAGAAAATATAGCGAATTATATTCTTGAATTAAGGGATACAAAATATATTGGAAAGCTTTAAGTATATTGACTTATAAAATATTAAATTAAATTAAAAATATATTTTAATTATATTTATAATTTTCAAAGAATTCTTTATAAAGATTTTAAACTTATTGAAAAATGATTTTGATTGATTATAAATATATGAGTGAAATATAGTATTTTGAATAATAATTTCTATAATTTCAATAAAACCGGCTTGTATAATAAGAATTATATAGATAGCAATAATTATTATTACTATTGAGAGATATGATCGAAATAAATTAATATATTAGATAATCGAGAATGGATTATCGATAATATATGAAAATATGGAGGATAAAAACTATTTCTTTATTTCTAATAATTCAAAAACAAATTTATATTTTTTCATTAATATATTGAAATTAATCTTTTTTTAGAAATAAAATTATTAATTTATATTTTAATACATAAATAATAATAAAATAGATTTAGAATAATTAAAACAGTTTTATAAATATACTAAAAATCAAAGAGAAAGTAAATATTGAATATTAATACTAATGGATATAAAAATCAACAATCAATAGTTTTTTCAAGTATATTATAAAGAGAATATTATATATTTAAATTTATTATTATATTCAAATTATTTAAGTCAGCCATTAATATTAGTTGTTTTGATAATCTAAAATAGTTTATATAATATTCAAATTAATGAATTTATTAAAATACATATTAATTATATTTTAAAAATTAAATTCTTTATAATTTTTAAAATTATATATTAAGAATTAATTATCTTTCAAAATATAAAAATAGAATTTCGAAAAACAAATTTAATTCTATTTAATTCTAAAATTATATTCTCAAAATTAGATATTTGAATTCATATATTTATTTCTTCTTTTTTTAATTTAAATTAATAAATCTCTTAAACCCCTTATAATCTAATTAAAGCTTTTTTTCAATTAATATTAATTAAATTTCAAATAATTTATTATTAATCAAACTCTTTTATATTTATATTCAAAATTATATTAGTTTTAATTAAAAATATAAAAAGATTAGCTTATAAAAATATACTTTTAAATATAAAGAATTATATATTTCAAATAATAAATAAAATATTAAATAAATATTGATATACAAAAAAAACTTAATTATATTAAAAAGGAATATTTACTAAATAAAAGACTTTTAATATATTATTTTAATAAAAGATTGATATTTAGATTTAATATAATAAATATCAAAAAAAAAAGGAATTCTAATAGGAAAGTATTTTTTAATTAATATTATAGTAAATATAAAAAAATAAAATATAATATAAAAATCTATCAAAATAATATAATAGATTCTAGATTATTAGATTCTTAATAGTTTTAATTAATTGATTTAATTATTATTAAATAATATGAGTTTGAAAGTGTAAATTGAGGTGAAAGTGGGCCACTCGGTGATATGGGCCACTCGGTGTTAAACTACGTTAGTGATTTCCTATTCATCTTCATTCATCCATTTTATTCAATTCATCCATCCATATTTCTTTCATTCATTCCTCTATTCCCATATTCGTCCGTTCTATTCCATTCCTCTCGATCTTCTTTCTCATCTTCTTTTCCAAACTCTCCTCTTCACTCATCTTCCTCCACCTCCCCCCAAAACTCCGCAAACCTCTTCCTCGCAATCCCCACACAATCAACCCCATAAACCATCTTCCGCACCTCCCTATCCGCCCACTTATCCGGAACCCTCTTTCCCCTCCCCTCCCTCAAATCCCTAAACAACCCATCCCTCTCCTCCTTCAACTTTCCCTCCCCAAGATGCCGACTCCTTGCGCTCGGCGCGGCTTTCTCCGCTCTCTCCTTTCTAATCCTCTCATACACTCTCAACGCTCTATTCACACCCTCCCTCGATCCATCCTCCAACAATCCCAAACACAACGCCACCACCGCTCATCCTCCACCGTCTGCGCAGCCCTGCGCTAATTGCGGAAGCGTAGAATGACACGCATCACCCACGTCGGTAAGGGAGCATGCAGACGCAATTTCCATTCGCAGAATTCAGCATCCGGGACGAGTTTCAACAAGCGACGGACTCTGGGGTTGAAATCTTCAAGCCTTTGAGCATGGTGTTTCGGATTCTTTGGTGGTATAGGTTTTCGAGGGGGAAATGGCGGGATTGATATCCGGTTGGGTGGTGGAGATGTTGTAGATGCGTTTGCAGGAGATGGGGTAGGCAATTATGTGGCGATGATCGCCGATCTAGCGGGAGACGCCGGAGGTGTCGATTAATCTGGGGATGGTGAGTGGATGATGGGAAAAGAAGGATGGCTTTGGGGATCAGATTGATGTGAAGGTTACAGGAAATGAGATGAGAAAAAGATGACAGAAGGGGAAGACGACAATCATACTTCGTATGACATCCAGACATCCCAGCCAACCAACTCTCCCAATTCAACAGATAGAATGAAAATGATCAGAATAGTCCAAAGAGAAGATAAAGTACACGAAGCAAAAAATAAACTTACTCCAAAAAATCGAGATCATCCTCCATCTGTTCCCTCGTAAGTAAAATTCTATAAGCCGCCTGTTCCGAATCCACCACCTCCGCATCTACCCCCCAATCCCTCAACATCATCTCCCTCATCCTCGATTTAATCCCACCACAGGCCAAAAAAACATCACAATCCACTCTTTCCATCTCTGCTCCTCTCGACGAAATCGTAAACGAAGGTTTCGAGGATAAATCACGTACTTCGTCAACACTAGTTCCACAGTGAAATTTCAAATCCGGATATTTCTTACATTTATTATACAGACCCTGAGTAGGAGAAGACCGATGGCCAACCATATGCGGATCCCCATATTCTTCTCGAATACAACCTGATTCCATCGAACCGAACCTAATTCTTCATCCGAGGACCCCCCTACAATTTCCTCTCATTAGTAAGTAAACTCCCAATCCATCCCAGACTAAAACAAACAAACAAACATCCCAAGATCACTTCACTTCTAATACTCGTCCTCTCCGATTCCCCCGCTTCTCTTTCAATATCTTTCTCAACCCTCAATCTATCCAAGATCCTCGACATATTAGCAGCGAGTTAAATTCCCGCCCCAAAAACCCCAGATCAGAAACTGTTTTAAAGACCTCTACTCTACATGTTTAAATCCTTCTTTCTTCAAAGCCAAGGCTGATGTCAAGCCTGCCATTCCTGTAATCCATAAGCGAACGAGAATTGATCGAGAGATAGATAATATACATACCTGCACCTATAACACAAATCTTTAGATTTTGCTTCGGGTCATCCATCTTTACATTATTTGTAGAGTTACCCAGTGAAATCATCCCCAAATTCCGCTTTTGAATATCCAAGTCTTCGACTCTCAGCAGGTAGACAATCAAAGACCCTTCAAGATTTCATCAAACGAGTAAACGAGTCACAAAGCCCTCAAAAATGATACCTATCACTCCGTACCAAAATCTACAAAACAATCCTCAAAAAGAGAAACTTCAATATCTCAATATCTCAACATCTCACTACACCAATCAACAAACAACGCACAACATCCGCAAACCCATCCAGACAAACACGCTGATATCATCTTCATCCAAGCAATTCATCTCCCACTCCCCCATCCCGAAAGGTTTCCAACACCCAAGATCGTCTGATCTGATAATACCTACCTACCTACCTAGTACGCAGTACGTACACCCCATCCAACTTCCCCGCCGAATAATCAAGATGCATTTATCTATCCAGAATGTAAGATTACAATATATAAGGCTGATACCATTCACCTTCCCCTTCCCCTTCCCCTTCCCTTCTTCTCCCTCTCCCTCTCCCTCAAACAACAAACAGCAACCAACACCAGTACAGTAAACATACATTTCCAAGTCGCCGTGTCATTGTCAAAAGAGGGGAACTCCGAATCTGGCAACGCATAAAGTAAGTAACCAACCTTAAGAGATACTCTCGATACTCATACAAATAAATTCAAAGCAAAGAGTCTGAGCGCTCAATCAATGATGACAGGTCAGACAAAAATGGGAATGAATGATGTAGATTCCTCATGGAGTAGAATGAAGGAAGGTGTTATGATTTGTGGAGAAGGAGGGGTAATGATATCACGGGATCAGAACTTTTTTGCTAATATATCATCATTATTTCTGTTGTCAAGTCAGATAATATTCCTTCAATGAGGGGCACTAAATAAGCGAGTGGAGCACTAATACACTTTGGGCTTAGAAAACTGCCGTGTGGTTACCCTTGCCGCGTCATGACAATTCTTCATTATTCAAGTGTGGGGATTCAATTGAATGTGTTTAATCTTCCAACTTTTGTAGAAGGTAGATAGGTAGATGTTGAACAGCAAATGGTGTTCATGATGGCTGTGACGAGGTTTATGATCGATGTAAAGCAACAGTATGCTTTGCTTTTTTGAGATCGACAATGATAAATGCTACTCTGCATATATAACTCATTACGCTGACTGAAACTCGAAGTGGCAATTTACACCAACGTTTGGTTGAAAACTAACCTCCCATTTAAAACCCATTTTGCATTAATCGCAGGTCCGATTGATACCATTAGGCCCTGCTCCACATATCCATAAATCATAAATCATAAATACCCATACTCATATCCTAAACTCAATGACAAAGTGTATTCCATTGATCCAAAATATCCTCCATATCGAATGCAATGCCCCATTGTGAACATAAGCATTTAAATAACTTCTGCATAGAATTGAGTTCATAAAGAAGATTCTTCGTTGTCCCCATTGCTCTGAAAAATGAGTTTTCCCCTCGAAGATATAACTCTGTCTCTGATTGACTTGTGTATCCTGGTTGGATTGAAGAATTTACAGCTTCATTGGTCGCTAAAACAGCTTGCCAGTCCACAATATTTGGTACATTGACTGCACCCTGACCAGCTAGTGAGAATACACAATAGACTGTTGCTGAAGCAAATAAAGAACTTGGGATATGTATGACATGTGCTCTACCTCTTGGTAGTTGTTCTACAATCTCTTGGATTGCAATCGCGTGTAAGAGAGCTTTTCGTGCTTCTTCCGTACTGGCCCAACTTATCAAATCTTGTTCTGGTTTCATGATATTCTTTCCACCACAAACATGTTGAACGATACCATAACGAGAACAGATAGATCTGCAAAGTAGTGATGAATCTTTACAGGCGTCTAGGCAAATGGTATGCCACCTTAGTAGAAGTTCAAGTCGTTCAGAATGTGAAAGATTTGGGCTGATTGATATAGCTTCAAAAGAGTGACTCAAAGCTTTTCGTAATTCGAGTTTTGTAGGTACACCAACTGTAGAAAGATCATCGGAATCGCAATCTGAGACCAAGGATTGAAGGCCTTCTAGAATGACTCGAAGAGAAAATGCCGAGAATGCATGAAAACTAGTAAGAGGTTGACTAGTTGGGGAAAATAATGATCGAATAATACTTCGGAAAGAATATTGCAAAGGTTCTTGAGATCTCATGTGGTTTAGCCATTCATTGGCAGTTGTAGCCTCGAATGCTGTTTCGCTACTTGGTAAACCCAATTGATTAGCAGCATGTCGAACTGATGGTGTTTCCCCAGACATTCGTGATATTAAACCATCCAGTACATAATGGCCCAACAACGCACGTTGTTGAATTTCTTTGGCGGCCCACACTTTCCAAGCTCTATTCTTTTCTTCGTCAGTAGAATTTTGATTTGGTAGGTTACTCCTTGAGTATGGTTCACTATCAGATATTGCGCATTGTCTTGCCCAAAAGAATCCAAGAGCATGAAATGCTTGACTTGTGGTACGAATAACTCGATTTCTCGAAAGAGCGCCGTAAATCTGAGCAAGTAGAGCAGTCACAACTAATTGTACTCCTTGGCAACTATCGTAAGGACCTTGGTGAGTGATTAATGTTTCCCAAGATGTCGCAACTGCCACATGAGCAAGCCTCCATAAAGCTTCACCTTTCGCAACTGAATCTTTGGGTCCAAGATATAACGAACCGATAGCCATAGCATTGAGAAGTAACGGTTGAGTACATTCTCGAAAGACGAATGTTGATCGATGTAATACTAGAAATGTGGGTATGAATCTTACAAAGAACATATGTAAACATTCATCCAGGAAAACTGATGTAAGAGATGTAGCTTCAACAGCAGCCGTAACAGTTGATGACTATATGTTATAATGAGTAAGGAATTTACTCAAGAAGTCATGAGAACTTACCAAACTAGTGACCATCTCACTAACATTATGTACCGCTTGATGACTTTCTCCCACCGGAATTGAACCAATTGAACCCTTCTCCTGGAATGGACCCGGTATACCAAAACTTCCATTATTTATACGTGACCGAGTTGTGATAGGTACTGGTAGCATTCCAATTGGCATTTGCCAAGAATTCGTTGGATCGGAAGACATCAAAGTTTCGAATAAATCTTCCGAATCTGGCCATATTAATTCAAAATCGAGATCTGCGGTAGAAGATGGTGTATTTCCAATGATGGAATGACCAGTACCTCTATCCTCCATATTTCCTTGTTGTGTTCTTGGCGTTTCAACCTGTAAGTTTGTATCTATCGCAGGTAACATATTCGTCGGTATGCTCGATTGCGCAACTAAACTCGAAGGTGGTGAAGGATAATTGGAATAATTGCTCTCTCTTCGAGTATGTAACCTTTCATGACGAGCAAGGGAATCTTGTCTTGCAAATGGTCTTCTGCATTCTTTGCATACGAAAGGTCGAGATCCAGTATCTTTTCACATCATTTATATTAGCTTGCGATTTCTGTTGCGGAGGAGTGAATTTAATTCCACAGGGATTTCTTCTTACGACTTCTTTCGTGTCTCTGTAATTAATGATTAGTGAGTATGAGATACACATCTGGATGATATTGTATTGCTAACCCTTAAATGTTCGCCTTTGGAAAAACTCTTTTGACAAAATCTACAATCCATGCCAGTGTATTTTCTCTGCGTGGGTGCGGAAGTAGGAGTGGTGGTGGTAGTGGCTGTTGTCGTTGATTGCCTTGGAGATTCCATGATGATTGATTGACTGCACGATTGAGGTATCGCGGTATTGGCTTTGACTTGCCTCACTTGAATCGTGAGATTATCTACCGCATACTTTTCTATCGCGATAAGATGATTGATATGTAAAGAAGGTAGGTAGTATTCAATTGTTCTCCCAAGGACGGTAGGTGATACAGCATCAATTAAAAAAAACAGGTACCAACGACGTAAGCCTTCTGGGGTATATGGGGTATATCTACCACCTTGTATACTCAAAGAATTCGAAAATGCACATTGCCTGTAGAGAATCCCCGCATCAATTCTCGGCACCGACGAGAAAAATACAGGGCAGGGGGCAGTAGTATCAATGATCGCTTCGCATTGACCCTGGTGACCATTTTGAGCTACTAGATACATATAGACAAGACTTGCCCATTCGTCCGTAAGGGCTCCAGATTGATTGTGTTGTATATCAGTATTTCTTGATTCATAATGATCCCAATTCACATTTGAATATATGCTCCTATTGAAAATAGACTACAGAATCTCAAGGAATATGGAACACTCGAAATCCAAACACGATTATATCCAGTTTATGAACGACTCGCATTTTGTCATTCCGTCTACCAGTAAATAATTCACAGACTAAAGAAACGCCTCAAGAATCCCATGCTGCCACACTGAGTAAGAGTTCATTCTATCCGTCCCCGAGTAAACCCTTCTCTCTCCTTCCCGACATTTACCGAATACAGCTACTCAATTCAATGTCGTCCTTGTTGATCAACCCACTCTTGGACATCTGCTTCAAAGTCTGCATTGTACAACCAGCTCAACTCAAATGGTTCTCTCTTCTGATCTGCCGAGTTTCCTGGTAACCGTCTCAAATCAATTTGTTGATTCAATTCCAAAACCTTTCCAACCCTCTTTTGTCGATATTCTTGCCAGAAAGAAAGTGCTTTTTGGGTATCTCCCTTGTCCGACTTTGCAAGTAGCAATGCAAAGATATAAACATCTTCAAATGCTTGGTTGATACCTTGCCCTGCAGAAGGAGGAATTGCATGAGCTGCATCACCAAGAATAACCACACGTCGATTCTCAGATACCCAGTTATCGAGTTTAGGAACGATGTAGAAGGGCCAAACATTAATCTTGTCATGAGAAATCTTGGAAACAGCGTTGTGAACGATCTCTGGAAATAGATCGTTGTTGCTTTGCAAGAATTTAACACTTTCTTCCTTATTGTTTGAGAGATCATTCCATCCGGCTCTATCTTTCTCCTCAATGCGTAATTGTTTTCCAATCAATACTTCAGATCCATCTTCTTGCTGAGGAGCAATCACAAATGCCCCCTTTGGAGACATTATAGTGACAGGGATATGATATCCTTCCGGAAGTTGTAATTGAGATGTTGGTACAGCTGCTGTGATTCCAACCATTCCAGTGAACTTGGTCTCCAAATCAGGATAGAGATAACGACGAACAGTAGAGTGAATACCATCAGCTCCAATGAGAAGAGGTGCAGTACCAGTTGTACCATCAGCAAATTCCCATTCAACTTGTTTGTCGGTTTCCGACGTGATGTGTGAGAATTTCTTGCCAAAAGTAATGGGGATATCTTGTTCCTTGAACATTTCAAGTAACTCAGTGATAAGGATGTTTCTGTAGATCCGAAGAGCTGGGAAGCCATATTTCTCTTCCGAACCAAATTCCTGAATCTCTACCAATTTTCCATCTCCAGCGGTACGATACTCAAGGTTGTCAAAATTGTAACCCTTATGACGAAGTCTATCATAGACATTGAGAGCTTTCAAGATTTTGAGAGCGTTGGGAGAAAGCATGACAGCACCTCCAATATTCAAAGGCGCGGGACGACTTTCGTAAACTCGACATTTTATATTGTTTTGATGAAGGGCAAGAGCGAGAGTTAGACCAGATAATCCTGATCCGATGATGGCGACCTCTCTAGAGGATGGTGTAGACATTTTGCTTGACGGGATGCAAAGGATATTGATAAAGTTATTTAAATTCGATACGTAGTGCTTGAAGTGTTTGATGTTTTTGATTTTTGAATGGAAGCTGTGTGGACAATATTTTATCTCTGGAATGAAGGATATCCACTTGATATATATCATCTCCCAATCTGTTGGTGATCCATCGGCTCATATTGTGACCATTCAATGGTATGATGTTCGCTCCGAATTATGCACCAACAGATTAAACCCTCGTGTAAGAATTACATCCTGCATTTCCGCTGGTTCCTGCATCATCGTGTGAGATTTTGGACTTTCGGATCCGAACCGGACTAGTTGTGCGACAGTGAGCATCTCGGCTTGTTGGTTGGTCAATTTCGTAAATCTAATCCCCGGTGTCTTATATCCGCCCGGCATTTTTGTTGCGCACAAATCCACCGGTCTATTTGCTTTCCGCATTTAAGAGTATATTCTTAACGCCGGTTTGTTTGCTTATAATTTTTTCTCTGTAATGTACCTGAATAGGACATTTGAATCTACTGGGTTATTTCATATAACTTCCCAAGGTTGTTTTCTTGTAAATGAGAGATTCTTGATTATCTTTGGTACACTGGATACTTAGAATTCTTCACAAACACCAAGCCATCTATGATTTCCAAGCTTTATATCCAACGGGGCAAAAACCATGTCACCACTACTAGATCTCAGACGAAAACTATTTCGATGCAATTAGTTATCATGCAAAGATAGCTACTCAGATATAAGGGTAAAAGAAAAGACTTTACGACTCTTGCGCTTTTACGAAACAGAGAGTTGGAGGACAAAATCAACTACCCTCACCTCTCCAGATGAGTATCAGAAACGAGACAGACCATCGAAGAGCGTCCCATCTGATATTGACTCGTGAAACTGTGCTTACGATCGGAATGATATTGAAAGTCTTCTCAAGTCTGGCAAACACAACTAAATTCTCCCTATGAGATTTTTCAACATACCAGTATCAAATTGCGTATACCGGAAGATCAAGATACTATCTCCAAGTTGAGCGGAGTGAAGAACAAGCACAAGCTATGGGAAATATAAGGATATCTTCAAGAGTGTGTGAGATGAAGTTACCTTTTCATTTTAGTTGATCTTTATAATGCCAAATCGTCCGTCCGGGGATGAGGTGAGATTATCTCACCCCTTGATCGAGCAGACCAAAGCACGAGCAAAGCAAGATAGAGATCCACGGGTTAGTTAGGATAAACTACAATTTCGTAAAACAGAGGAGAATCAAGGGACTACACGATATATGACAGTTCGGGTTGCAGTTCAACAACTGATCGCTTTTTAATTTATCTTTAGCACTCCGGAAACGCAAATGATTGGAAGACTCGATTGGATAAGATGATTCAACTTCTTCAGGAACCATTTGTTCTAAACATTGTTGTACTCCATTTCGAAGACGTCGCTTCCTAGTTGCACCGCACTTCACCCGGTATCTCACGAGGAATGCGAAAAGGTCCCGGGAGAAAGTGACACCGCTGATTACTCAACATGAGATGTTGTAAGATGGCGTGTAGAAATTTCGAAAATCGACTTCACTAATTTATTTTAAATAGAGACTATTTCTTGATAATTGGGCACTCATCTCGATATCTTCCTTCGTTCACTTCTAGTAACGTCTGCCTGTACACAATTACCCCTTACCTTCTTAACCCACAACCAATCAGAATGTCCCACAAACCAACACTCGTCTTCGTTCCCGGAGCATGGCACCGTGCCGAAATCTGGGAGAAAGTAACTGCACTCCTAAAAGACCAACACTACAGATGTATCCCCATAGAACTCCCCTCCACAGCCGGCGATGCCACGATAGGTTTTGATGATGACATCACAGCAGTACGAAATACTATATTGTCAGAAACCAAACAAGGTCGCGATGTGATACTAGTTGTGCATTCGTACGGCGGCGCAGTCGGTCAAAGTGCAGTCAAAGGACTCACCCGTCGCCATCCCGATGATCTCGTATCTACGGATGAGAAACCAACTGGTCATGTTGTAGGTCTCGTGATGATGGCTTGTGGGTTTGCGCAGACGGGGTTAAGTTTCATCGATGCGATTGGGGGAACACCTCCGCCATTTTGGAGATTCAATGATAGTGGGTTTGCGCTGTTGGAACTTCCTGCGAGAGAATCGTTTTATCATGATCTTCCTGAAGAGGAAGGTGAATATTGGGTGAGCAGGTTGAAGAAACAATCGCAGAAGGTTTTGAAAGAGGGTGGGGAATGGGCGTATGCGGGTTGGATGGATGTGCCGGTTTGGTATTTGACTACGATGGATGATAAGACGTTTCCGGTTGAGGTGCAAGGAATGTTTGTTAAGATGGCGAAGGATGCAGGAGCCGATCTTACGGTTAAAGAGGTTGTGAGTAGTCATTCGCCGATGTTGAGTAGACCGAAAGAGACGGTAAAATTTATCGTGGAAGCGGCTGTTTCACTGGCTCATTGATTTGGCTCGGTAGGCTATTGCTCTGATTGGAAATCATGAGAAAAAATGTAATAATCTAGTAAAAGAATCTCAACTTTGCCCACGACCAATGCTTCAACTCTTGCATGGTTCTTAATCGCCTCAATGCGCCATAAATAGTGCCATGATTCTAGTGCACGTCACTACTAAATAGCCTCGCACATTCAAAATATACCAAAACCTTTAGTAATGAACGGTCAAGTTGTGCAACAAAACCGAAACCGCTTGCGGGAAATCTGTCTGTAGGAGAATCACGTGCGGCATGTATTTTAGGGTATCACTTTGTCAGTAGTCCCAGCACTAAGAAGGATCTAAACTTACACAACAACGAGAAATATTATAAAAAAGCAATGACATAAAAATTTGGAAGAAGCCATACTTCATACGTTGAAACCGAACTACCACAAGAAAAATTCCCGATCATACACGAAACTTCATATCACAATTTATCCCATTCAAACTTCTTGATCATACCTCACAAACCAACCTCGAATAAACTACCTACTATTCATCATGTCTAGAACTCCTACACGAGTAATGGTGATTTCCAACACTCACGAACATTGCCTCAATGGAGCGAACATGCCCGAGGTAGATATTCTCCTTCATACGGGCGATTTGACCAATTTCGGTGAATTGGAGGCCTTGAAAGAGTCCGTCAAGATGATGGGTACTATCGAGGCCGAGTTAAAATTGGTTATTGCCGGGAATCATGAAATATCACTTGGTGCGCAAAACCGAGTAGAGAACATGTCTGACGAAGAGTATTCCGAATATCATCATTCCGCCATCGAAATCATGACAGGTCAATTGGCGAAAGATGCTGGTGTTGTCTATCTTAAGGAAGGTACTCATACATTCTCACTTAAGAATGGTGCTAAATTCACAGTATACGCCTCACCCTACACTTGCGGATCTATGGGCTTCCAATACCAGATAAATGAAGACCGTTTTAATGACGCAACCCAAGTCGCTCCAGGCCAAATTTCAATTGCCACCAATCCTATTCCTGAAGGTGTTGATATCGTCATGACTCACGGTCCTCCGCATACGATTCTGGACCAGGTTTATGGCTCTTATAAAGGCTGTCGTAATCTTCTCCGGGCTGTAAGCCGTGTTCGACCACTTATGCATTGCCTCGGACACATCCACGAAGGAAACGGTGCGAATCTTGTAACCTGAAAGCCAGATGGTAGCGTAAAGGATCCATCATCAGCTACACCGATGGAGACAGAACAAGTTAATGAGTATCCATATACAAATGAGTGGCCAATCCAATCTGGAAAACAAACACTTATGGTAAATGCGGCGATCATGATGAACACTGCAAAGGGAATGCGTCCAAATTACAAGCCCTTCGTGGTATCACTCAATCTTCCTTGCGATCGTTGATGTTATATCCAGTCTCTTCTTTGTTTCTTTATTTTGATGACTTTCGATAGGATTGGAAAATTGCTAGTCCGGCGTTCGTGGAAATGTGTTATGGAATTTCGAAGTTGTTGATGGCGTATATAGCAAATCTTACCTACCTTTATATTTATTCAATCGCATTTTCAACTCTAACCCTCTTGATGTTTGCACGTAATGTTTTCGTTTACAAAACCGCATAATTGTATGGGCTGCCCGCACCGGTAGCAAGTGATAGACACAAGTAGCTTCGACATACAATGCCATAATCCTCCAAGTCGTTCCCATTGTCTCCTTGCGCCTCTGTTTGATCCGGAGCCCTCTTTAGGGGAAACGCATGCGACCTTCAATCTCAATCGGCGTTTTGCGCACGTATAGTGTTTGAATCGAAATGTGTTGTTGACTCTGCGAGCTTGTTTGAAGCGCAGAAGCTATGGAGCCAGTACCAAATTCGAACCTCTTGGATTGTAGTAGGCATTGTAGTCTTAGATATGCAGCATGTTGTATTCTGGGTGTAATGAAACCTGTCGGGATTCGAGGCCTGGTGTTGGATTCGAAATTCGATCAAAAAATATAGCTTCCTTCGAACGCATGTCTCTTCACCATTTTTCAGAGCAGGATATGTATGGGTCGAATGCGCGTGTCTGTTTTCTCTTGAAGGAAAACACGAATTCCTACAATCCGATCTTCACCAATGTAAAACATGTTCCTTCTCAGTTCCATGATCACTTCAAGAATGCTCGTTGGTTGAGGTTTCGGTTTGCCAATAGTATACTAAACAACAAGATTAGAATCGGATGGACAGCAAGATTGTGCTTTATAACGTAAACAAAATTTATACCAAACCTTGCCTAAAAGGCGCGATCATCCTGCTAAGGCTCATTTGCCTATTTCCGAGTAATTATTGAGGATAACAATTGTGAGACTCAAAAGTGTCTGCAACAAAAACAGTAGCGAAGAACTTGCGAAGAATTGTCGCCGCACTCTACGCTCCAGAAATAATGCATCTTAACTTTGATCTCGCAATCTGCCTAAACAGGTTGCGCAGTGGTATTGACCATGATACGTGTATTTTTCCTTGTAGCGAAGCCAAAAATATTCCTTCCTAGCCCAAAAATTGTCTATTATATTCACTTCTCTTCAACCATTCCTCGCTCATGTATTGTAGATGGAAGTGCGAGTAGCCATTTTGGCGGCGCATACAAAATAAAAGATTATAATCTTCGTCGCAGGACTTCTCTCATACTGGACAAGTTTGTTGTGGTGATCAATCCTTGTGGTTCGTATGTGCGAGCAAAAAATAAGTAGCTTGCAGGAAGAATGATTGTTTTGAGTATGCGGATGGCGAACTGATGCTACAATCTCGGCCGCGAGGCTCTCTTTTTTCATCGCGCAACAACAACTCTCAATATTGTTGATCGCAGTTGAGATATTCGTAATCTAGTTCATATCCTCGTTCCCTCTTGCGCCCACCGGTAACTTTGGGGGTCGTTTGCGGATAGGATCCAAATCACCAGAATCGACGCCAACATCACTGCAAACCAAATTTCTTGTAAAAGTTATCTTTAAAGACCTGGCGCATATATCTGTAGTTGAACTGGATCTATCCCCCAATTTTCAGAGTCTTGAGACCATCATTGGTGTTGTAATCGTAGATTCCATTTTCGCTGATGTTGAAAGTCGTCAAATTGTTTGTCGCACAGTAGCCCAACGAAACGGCGATCTTAATAACTCCAAAACCTGATCTCAGAATCTGATCAAACTTTGCCACAATACCAAGAAATATCTCCTCAAGGTATTATTAAAGTTTCAAAAATATCTACCGCGCATAACTCTCACAATCCCCAAATGAATGATTTTGGAGCCTTTTTGAGCCAATGGCAGGCCTTCAACGTGATGATTTTTGACCGACAAAACGTTTTGTTGCACGTCTATGGCACTTTCTGAAAATGGGGCTTTTTTGAAATTTTGCAATTTTTTTGCAGATTTACACGGCTCTCAATTGCGCCATTTCAGGAAAACTATCGACGTTCAATTCTGACAAGAATTGGGGATGGTGTTGTTGCTTTTCGTTATTGACGGTTTTGACCTTGGGTCGTTAACTTCCTCACAAATTCTTCGTCTGATATCACTTCAAATTCACTTTCTGGGCCCGATTCGGTCATCCTCGGTATGATTTATCCCGTGAGGTCTTCAAGTTCGGGAATGGATTAACGACCGTCGACGTCACTCATATCAAGACTCGTCGCCCATTATACCGCCCAATTTCCATCAGTTCAGACTTCACTTATTAGTAATTCACTCAGTAAATTACTCCTAGTACTTCCAAGATTGTGAATAATCTTCTGCTAACAACAACCTTTCTAATCTAATAAGGGTACACTCCCAGAAATCTCAAGTCATCTCCCCCATCCTGCTTAACACTCTTCCATTATACATTCAAGATCAATGTTCTCGAATCCAACCAACTCCTTCACCACCGCAGCTGAATCTACTCTTTTCCTCAACCTATGCAGCTGACCCTTATTCATCATATGTGTATGACCGAAATCCCAACGATGCACTGCGATTATCTCATCAGCATGGAAACAATTTGCTTACTGCTACGATGTTACGCACATAGTGGCCGGCAAATCGACCTGCATGGGAAATACTTATTAATCACTTCTCAACCATAAGCAGCTTTCTAGAGCGACTCGATCTGCAGAGCACTTGATGACAATACGGCGATTACTTTCAAAGGATGCTTCGTCCTATTGATGATCGGGGACAATAGGTTGGCCTAGTGAATGCTTTGTTACGGTCGAATAGCTGTTATATTGTTACAATGACTTGCACAATGATTATAATCAAAGTTGTCACATAGAATTACATAGAATTGGCTCTCGTACTCCTCTTGAGGTTTGGACAGAGCGGACTGAGAGAGCAGTGGACGAAGTGTTTCCTCGAAGAAACCCGGCCCAAACAGGACATCAGTCAAAGGTCTGGAAAGAGGCTTTGCAAGACAGAAGTACATAACAAACTGGTAGTCGTCATTGAGTTTAATCATTTGTTGGACAGGGCAATCTCCGTACCAGTGCGCTAGATGAAATCGTGGATACTCTAGCATGTAACCCTTTGAATCCGGTGGCTCTTTTCACTGATGAATTGTATGCCCCATTTTCCTTCTGTGTATAAATTCAAGTCGTGGAGGTGGAATTTGTCGTCTGCTACCTGAAAAGTGTTGTTGGAACCCTCGCTGTTGAGGACTACCATTGTTCGAGTAGAGGTGGTGACATTGGATCTTGGTTGTCTTCCATACTGTTGACCTCGAAGCATCGCATTGTAAGAATCAGATCGATGCTGATTGTTATGACCCTGGATCTGAGTCCGAATTTGAAGCCATGGCTGTGGCAGATGTAATGGATGCGATTGAGAGGTGGTTTCTGAAGTTTGGATGTTCGATATCTTTAATCTGTTTGAAGAAACCATGCTTGACTGCTTAATTGGGATGAAAGTGAATTTTTAGAGTGTCGCCAATAGAGTGCTTCTACTATTTCACTTCACGATAATGACAGCAATATTCTAGTGAAGTATGAAATATTTAAATTCCTAAACCATATGCACCTAAACTCCCAAGACCCTCAAACCTTTTAAGAATATCTAAGAAATCTATCCAAACCAATTTTGCCGTATAACATTTATCAGCTTCTGAATCCCTATAAACCACTGAGACTGTCTACCCTCTTCCCAAAATAATTGGTAGGTGCTACTACCATTCCAATGTTCTCCTTTTCGATCTCCCTCTTCTTAATCCCCAAACTCTTCTTCACATCTCCCAAGCTCATTTCTCCAATCAATCCTCTCACGGCCTCAAAGACCACCGCCTCAAATGCCACAATCTCTGTTTTCGACACACAATTCGTATCATACTCTAACCTCAACGCAATCGCATCATCAGAAAGCACTGAAAACTCCACCAAGAGCGCAAATTTACTTCCTTCGGTATAGGTAATCAGAGGATCCACACCTTCGATCATAGTCTTGGGAGTGCGATTGTCATGAAAAGTGACCATAACATCGAGCAGTGGATGATTTGGAAAGCGCGCTTTGGTGGAAGTGGCGCTGAGAATCTGATCCCAAGGCATAGCATGTGCGATTGCTTCTTGGCTGGAGGTTTGTACTGCGCGGAGGAAAGATGTGGATGTCGTCTGGGAGGTTGAAGGTTGGCGGATGCGAATGGGGAGAGGCTCGAGGAATAATCCAACGGTTTCGAGATCCTTGGCTCCGCGGTTGAAATAAGGACCTCCCAATACGATGTCGATATCGTTTTGATCGTGTTGTAGGGAAAGCGCTACAGCACCAAGAGCCATTTGATGGAGTGTGACTTTTTGCTCATCCGTGAATTTGAGAATTTGGCGGGTGAGATCTTGGGGGAGCTTGGTAAGACGAGTACGGCCGGTGTATGTGGTACGTTCTACGATATTGGGGAGGGTGTAAGTTTGTGATTTACCGTGAAGATATTCTTTCCACCACTTTTGCTCAGTTGGTGTGGCTGTGGTGCTCCATTGTGTAGTGTCCATGTATGTATGCTCGACAGGTGGTAGTGAATTACCGCTGTAAAGCGTGGTAACCTCCTTGAGGAGAACTTCAAGGGAAGTCAAGTCTGCAATTATGTGGCTCATGGATGCAAGCATTGTGTTTCTTGAGAGAAACACTCGGATGGGATGCTGACGTTCCAAATCAAAAGGTCGATTACATTCTCTCCAAAGGCCAAGTTTGTTGACTGTCTTGATCTGAGGAGGGAATCGATCGTAACCTCTTTGTACACCACCTTTGTGCCCACTCCTTATATATCTGCAACGAAGAATACGATGGCGTGATAGCACTGTATTCCATGCTGAGATTAACTTATCGGTGTCAACAATATTGGTGTCGATTGCACAGGCGTAGGTAACATTGAATGAAGATGTTCCGACATTTAGTCTATACTTCTCCCACCATTCACGCTCAATGGGTGATATTCTGTATTTTCCTAGCGGAACCAATGCATCATTGACATCAGTAGATTGACATTGAGCACGAAGATTCTCGACGATCTTTGCCATTTCGAGTAGATTAGCTGATTGCATGATGTGAGAAACCGTCATCCTCACACGGAAGATTTCAGAAAGTTTACTCGCAAGACGAAGTTGCATAACGGAATGACCTCCAAGTGAAACAAACTCAGAATCTCTAGTTATCTCCACATTGGATTCCAGTCCCAACAATTCCTTCCATGCTTCAGCAATCCTGACTTCGGTCGAGCTTTCGATCTTCTTTGGGGTGGACTCCTTTTCTGCCAAAGTCATATTGGTAATAGCCTTATAGTCCAACTTTCCAGCAGGTGTCATTGGGAATTTCTCCACGGCTAGAAATACTCTAGGAACAGCATGAACAGGTAGCACTTGAGTAACCTTTGCCCTAACTTTTCCGATGTCAAGTGTCTCAGGCTGAATCATAGCAACGAGGTAATCGCCCTTTTGACAAATAGCAATACCAGAACATTCCGGGATAGCTTCCGCCACACGAATTTCCAAATCATTAAGATCAAGACGGAAACCACGCAGCTTGATTTGTCGATCATTGCGGCCCAAACATTCGACTTCACCAGCTCGGTTGAAATATCCTCGATCGCCTGTTCGGTACATCATTTCCCCTTGACGGTTGCAGATGGAATCGGGAAGAAATCGTTCGGCAGACATTTGTGGCATACCGATATATCCTCGTGCAACTTGTACACCGGCAAGATAGATTTCTCCGATCACACCCGGTGGAAGGAGTTGTTGGTTTCGGTCGAGAATGTAGACGCGAGTAGTGGGGTTTGGTGCTCCAATATTAACCGGCTTTCCGGGAAGTAGTTGTTTGATGGTAGCTCCACAGGTGGCTTCAGTAGGACCATACATGTTGTACAGATTCTTAACACTAGACCATACATCATTGACATGTTGCGGAACTGGCTCGCCGACTAGATATACATTTCGCAGCATGGGGAAATCTTCTGGGTCCAAAATATTGGCAATGGATGGTGTTAAGATGGCAGCTGTGGACCTCTCCAAGTGGGAAAATGGATGTATGCCATCGGCTAGAACAATGGTAGCACCATAGCTTAAAGCGGAGAAGATCTCGTGAATACTTCCATCAAATGCTGGCGACATCAATTGAGAAATTCTTTGGCCTGGAAGTGCGAAAAGTCGAACAGCGAGGTCCTTTTGAAATGCTACCAGGCCTTCGTGGCTACACATCACACCCTTGGGTTTACCAGTAGACCCAGATGTAAAGCAAAGATATGCATTATCCACAGGTCTAGGTGTTTGTCTTGGGGCGACAGCCAACGAGCTTGGCAGAGGTAATTGGACCAAATCTTCAACCGAAAGACACAATTTGCATGATTCTGGCGCAATAGTTCGTTGAGAAGATGCCGGTGTTAAGAAGAGCTTTCCTCCAGCAGTTTGGAAATTGGCTTCCCGAATGTGACCCGGTAAGGCAGCATCTTGTGCAGAATACACCGCGCCGGTCTTGAGGATACCGTAAATGGCAACGAGCCAGTTGATACTTCGATCTGCATGGACGCAGACAATATCACCTGGTTGAACATATCTAGAGAGTTGGGCTGATAGTTTTGTGGCCATCTTATCAAATTCCTGATAGGTCAAACTGTCTCCGGCTTTTTCGACAGCTAAAATGGATGGATTCTCTGCAGCGGCGCGCTCGAACAAAGTGACCAAGTCATCTTTAATCGATGCTGGTGATGTTTCATCTGTTAAGCAATTTCCCATCTTCATCAATGTTTCATGAGATTTGGAAGAGAGTAAATTGGATAAGCATTCGCCGATGAATTTCTTTGGCGACAGAAGAGACAAGATAGCACTTTGAAAATTCTCGGATAGTAGTTCGATATCGGTGTCAGTGTATTTCTGTGTTTGATAAGACATTCTGATGGTTCCAGTCGTAGACATAAAGATACTAAGTGGAATATCGGGCACGACTTTGAACCATGATTGACCAATAGGACGAATCAAATGATCATCGGTAGGCTTCATATCAAACTCCATAGCCAATGCTGATGCAAATTGCCTACTGTACCCATCTTCTGGAAGAGAATGTTGAAATGAGCTCAAGTCAACCGAGTGTCTGAAGACAGATTGAACATATTCCAAAGTCGTTTGCTTGCGGTCTAGCGAGACATGAAATGGTAGTGTGTTTATCAGTGGTCCAATTGTGTCATCCATCCCAGCTATCGACAAATTGCGACCAGAAAGAACAGTACCAAAGACTACAGTATCGGAATCGGCATACATGGATAGTACCAGACCCCAAGCTGCTTGAAACCACGACGCCAATGAAATGCCAGCCGATCTCGCAGCTTCGGCAATTTCTTCAGAGGGTATCGTAAATGAAACATCGGCATTTCGAGATAGTTTGGAGGGTGACGATGGGACCGGAAGAGCTAAATCACCAACTGGTGATGGATGCAATTCCATTTGTTTTCTCCAGAAAGCCCTGCTTACATCTCGGTTCATTTGTTGATGTTTTTGTACTTCGTGGATAACATTTGAGAATGGTGTGCCTGGAACAATATTCTGACCCATCACAATCTTTCGAACTTTTTCGTACAATAGATTTGCAGAGTATCCATCAATAAATGCATGGTGAACTCTCCATATTATTGTGCTCACGCCACCATCTCCTGATCTTTGAGTCCTTGGAGTAAGAACTGTAAAAGTAACCTCCATCTTCTCGGGTACAATCTCCCTTTCTAACTCTGATATGTGGATATCGGTATCTTCCACAAACACTTCATCCCAGATAAATGGTAATGGTTGTTTCGAATAAGTCGCTGTAACTCTATCGTGATCGAAAATTGTCCGGAACACTGGCTCCGAATCTATAACTGTCTTCCAAGCCATTTTCATAGCTGGAATGTTGGCGGAACTGTAAGTTTCATAGAAACTAATGATGTTGCTACCAGGTTGTCTTTGATAGCTGTGCATAAATGAGTGTTGCATCTCTGTTAATGAGATATTGGAGGCGGATGTTGTATGTCCATTCGATTGGACTGGCTTAGAAAGTGACATGCGGCGTTCATGACTCAATCGTGTAGGGCTGACAATTGTATTCAGATCACATGTATTCTTCAGGATATTTGTTGAAGGAGTAGATCTTATTTCGGTAGCCGAATCGATGAGTTGTGTAAGAGTGGTACTCAAAAGAATGGAAGGTATTGATAGGACGAGACCATCTCGTTTGCAAGCTTTGGAGAACTTAATAGCCATCAATGAATGGCCACCAAGACCAACAAAGTTGGATTCCAGATCAACTTCTGATGTGGGAAGCTCAAGTATCGAACATAAATGACTGAGAATAAGGGCTTCTTTCTTCGATGGTGTCATACTGGAAGTCTTTTCGACCATATTTCGTTTCGAGTAACCATTGTTACCAATGATATCAATGAATGGAGACATTGTAGATGTTGATCTATGCTATCGATGCTGATCTGTGAAGTGAAAGTACAAACAAAAGAGGAGAAACCGGTCATACATAAAGAAACAATAATAGTAGATTATCTAAAGAAAATGTATGAAACATAGAGTTCCTCATCCGGCTCCGAGAGGTCGACAATACCTCGACTAAGACTTCTCCTCTGCTATTCTCACCACCTGCAGCCTATACTACAAGCATCAATCTCACATAACAGGACTAGTGAAATCCGAATGATAGCTTGTCAGGATATTCTTAATCCATGTCCTACACTAGCAGGACTCATGTTGAGCTCGTTTTCTATAGCAATAAAGTTCTAGCCCTCATAACGAATCAAATCCAGTAGAAGCCATTATTGACATACTGATTTTCCCTCAAAAACAAAAAAAAGAATCAAAAACTTTTTCGACGCTTGATATGCATTCCATAGATAACTACAAACTCAAAAATCAGATTGCTTTTTCTAGATAAAACAATACTCTAAACTCTCTAGTGTTCAGTTGCTCAAACCTTGATCTCCCATCATACCTGTCTCCTTCGTATTCAAACTCAATATACTTGATTATATATAAATCTAATTCTGGATCTATTGATCAATGATGTCGATTATTAAACCTAAAAATCATACAGAATTGGTCTTAGATTCCTTTTTTTTCCTTCGATCTCTAAAAAATAAATTCTGTACTCATGACTTTCAAGACGTCAAATCACTTCCCTTGATATCGAGAAGTTTTTCCTCAACTTTATAAATTTGATAACACATAAACAGTGCATCGAATTTTTAAATCAATTGATTCAATTATCGTGAAATGATTAAAGATTGAAATAGATGGTTTGCTTATGGTGGTGAGCATTCTCAATGTGGCCCAAAAGAGGGGTGGCCAGTCAACTTACATGAAATTGCGTGATATGCATCCAAATCGCTCTTACTTTTGTAGAACAGATGGTGGTGCACTTCCAGATTTGAATCTAGTGTTTGGAATTACAATCAAGCACGTTCAATATTTCTGTAGAACTATAGGTCAAAGGAAAGATTTTGGACGACAATGTCAGCTTCCTAGGGCTATGGAGCTACTAAATTTCAGATGTTGAATTTGTACGATACTTAGCTTGCATTCTCTGATCCATTCTCTGATCCATTTGCAAGTTTAGGAATGATTAAGGTAATGCCAAGCGATGGAAATCTAAGGAAAGGGGACATGTTGTCAAAATTCGCTTGATCCCAAGCATCTCCGATGGATACACGGATATCCGAGTGTAACGGTTTCGTTGATGTCTCCACATTCTTACTCGCAGGCTGATAAAATAATTTTGCTTGAGACTTAGTCATGTTTATTTTTCAGCTTCCAGTAATCTTCTAGCGTAAGTGGGATTCAGTCTGTGCATCAATCCTTTCGCTTTCGTATTTGGTGAGAAATAAGGAACGTTGTATTCTCGGCAAATATGCATGTGGGTTTCACGGGTCCGCCATCTTCAACATTACAGTAGTACCGGATCCGAAAAAAATCCTGTCAGCACGTTATGAGCACGTTTTCACAGTTTGAAGTGGCTTCATATTGTGCGCTGAATTATGTATTAATCCAGCTCATTTACCGTCACTTGTAGCATTTCAAATCATCATCTTCTCGAAGCTTGAAACTTCTGACACCATTCTCTGTCAATACACAAATTTTCTAGCTTTAAAATTGTCATTTGTTGATCGACATGTCTTTGCCAAAAATTGCTGTCATAGGTGGTAAGTCACTATCATGAACTACCATTTTCAAAAGAAGTTCTCGACTAACAAATCATAGCTGGCCCTGCCGGGTTGACCTTTGCTCGTCTCATTCAATATAACGGTATCCCATGTACCATATTTGAACTAGACAGTGATCGGAATGCCCGAAGCCGAGGAGGCTCACTCGATATTCACGAAGGTTCAGCTCAAGTTGCACTCCGGGAAGCTGGATTGTATGAAAAATTCTTGGCAGTTGCACGACCCGAGGGGGAAGTTCTCAAAATTTACGACCCTTCTGGAAATCTCATCCTTGATGAGAGCAAAGATGTCGGTGAAAGCAGACCAGATTCTTTCAAAGGTCGTCCTGAAGTGGATAGAGTCCAGCTTCGTAATATGCTTTTAGATTCTCTTGAGCCTGGGAGCATCAAGTGGGGACATAAGCTACAACGTGTCGAAACATCCGCTGATCCAACATCTCTTACTTATGATCTACACTTTCAAGATTCCGTCGAGAGAGGCTTTGATTTGGTTGTTGGAGCAGATGGGGCGTGGAGTAAAGTACGACATATAATTTCCAACACGCGACCACAATTTGCCGGAATCACTGGAGTGGAAGCCAAAGTTCTGAACATCGATCAAAAAGACCCAGCTCTCGCAAAAAGAGTAGGCTTGGGTATGTGCCTCACCCTCGGCAACCACCAAACTGTACTATCGCAGCGTAATGGTGATGGATCAGTTCAAACGTATGGATTCTTTCGAAGACCTGAGGACTGGCAAGAAACATGCGGTATTGATTGGTCTGCGCCTGGCGTGGGACAGAAATTCGTAGATAAATACTACGAAGATTGGGACCAAGACGCGAAAGATTTGATTATCAAGAGTGATGAGGAAGCAATTCCAAGGCCAATGTATATGCTTCCGATAGGGCATAAGTGGCTTCACAGAGCAGGGTAAGATACCTTTTGAAAAATTCGTCTCTTGCATTCAGCATTCAACAGCCTTCCTCATTTTCCCGCTATTAAAAGTTAAGAACAATTAGCTAACTGTCTATTTAGTGCAACCCTACTAGGTGATGCAGCTCACCTCATGACTCCATTTGCAGGCGTAGGAGTAAATGTTGCAATGGAGGATGGAATGGAACTTGCAAGAGCTGTGATTGCTCGTAAATCAAATTGGGCAGGAAAAGACAAGTTCGAGGATGCTGCCGGTCTGTCCGAAGCTGTAAGAAAGTATGAGTTGGCTATGTTTGATCGTGCAGAGGGATATGCAAAGGAAACTTGGATGTATCTAAACCTCTTCTTCAATGAAAGAGGAGGACATGCCATGGTTGAAAGTTTCGCGGAGCAGAAGAAGCAGCAGAGAAAGGAAGCCGAGTCAAAGTTTTTGGAAAAGGAGACTGTCAATATTGAGGTTGTAAGCGTTTAAACATTTTTCTTGTTTTTCGGAGTTCTGATTGGAGTTTATGAGAATAGATAAAAGTCTAGGTCTCATTATATTGATTGATCCCGATCGATGTTAATATCAATATCAAACATTGGCAAATCTCAGTCGCAAAGGCAGTAAGATTCTTCAATCAAACAATCTAAAGATGACTTAGGTTCATCTGTGCTCCGGTCCAAATATTCGTGTTTATGACGACTTCATAGTATTATAGGGGTTCCAATAGGCCATACTGCAGTCTGGCATTCAGAAGCTTTCAATTCCTAAATCTAATCATAACATTAAGTTGAGTTGAGATGAAGAGTTAGTCTCAAATTTTGAGTCGTTCCCAAACGTTGAGAGCAACAAGGACTATTGGAACCCGGTAATGTGACCGCTTGGTGATGAAGATGTCAACCACTCTACTACTATTCGACACCTACGTAGCACAGTCATCTTGTAGCCAATTTCCGCGTCTGGAGTCTGGGGTAAACGTTTCTAGACGAAAGAGGATTAATGTAAGACAAAAATAGATGTAAGACAGCGCTGTTAATTGGATAATTCGTGAGAAAAAGCCGGGTCCGACCGGCTCCGGATTTCATAAGCATTACCTTCAGGAACAGAGAAAAATATATAGCTGAAAGCTTAGTTTGAAGGAGATCAAAAATAACCATGATTTCATATAAGGAAACAGAAGTATCGTCTGTTGTTTGCATTGCCAGCTCTCCCCCTCCCTCCTCATTACCACTCACCACATATTGCACAACATTTATATCCTTAATCGAACTTTGATAACAAATCAAGAAGACAAAAGTCAGCTGAAGGTTAACGTTCCATAAGTATGCAGCTTTTTGTGATTGGTGGTAGTGGAAGAACGGGTAAGATGGTAATCGAAGAAGCATTACTTCGAGGTACGTACATGCGTATATAGTAAGAATGCAGTAGCATACCGAGAGATCAGCGATGTCGCCATTTCTTATACTTCCGACATTCGATAGCTGACATGGCGATATCTAGGTCATGATGTGATAGCTTTAGTTCGAGACCCCTCCTCAATGGAAGCCAAGGATGGTTTGAAGATTTTCAAAGGTAAGAAATAAAATCTTATCCTCAGATGCCGAAACTAGTCACTGCATCCAAGCTAGATATCAAGAAGTACCTTGACTAATTCTCACCAATACAGGTACCCCTCTCAATAAGGCTGATATCAAAGCTGCATTCGAAGCAAGTACCAATATCCCATCCGTTGTTATTGTTACTTTGAGCGCTCCTCGTACATCCGATAGCCCTTTCGCTGCATCTATCTCTCCACCAAGGCTTATGGCAGACTCAAATGCCAATATAATTGCTGTTATGAAGGAATTTGATGTGCGCAAGATTGTTGTGATGCAGGCTTTCGGAGTAGGAGATAGCTGGCCCCATATGCACTTCTTACTTCGAATGTTAATGAAGAAGTCAAACATGTATCTGCAATACGATGACCACAACTTGGTGGACAAAGAGATCAGGGCTAGTGATATTAACTATGTTCTCGCTCGACCGGCCAGACTGGAAGAGGGCGAAGCAAAGCCCGTTAAAGTGTATGGTAATAAAGGTATGGGGATTGCCATGATGGCTAGTATCACACGAGAAAGCGTAGCCAACTGGCTTGTCAATGCAGCGGAGCAAAAAACGTGGGATTCGCAGACTCCTGTATTGGCGAATTAGAGTCATCGAGTGGACAGAAGTTGCGTTATTTGCTTGAAGGGTGCAACGGCGTAATTGGCATTTTTGCCAGATGCCACTTATTTTTTCTTCAAGCCTATGGATCAAAGATGGTGGGATCAGTAGGCTGACAGTAGTACAGATGGGATGACTCTTGGCACTGGCCGCTGTACAATGTATTATTCATCGCGCACTCATCATCTCTCATCATCTCTCATCATGCGTTTTGATTTGTGATTGTTCTTCAAACCTTGTGGATTGATTGATTATGCGGACATGCAGATATGTCAGCTCCACGTCCCCGTTTAGCCCACATTAATTAACCATCGATATTTACCCATATTTACCCGCAAAATATGTTAGAGGTATATAAATATATCTCTATTTATTGGTTGGCCATGTATTCTTTAGTGGATACTGACATGATTCGCGAACGTATTCCGTATAACAATGAATTTAATAGGTAGTCTGAGGTAGTCTCGCTTTTCAGCCCCTTCATTTCCTCCACACCCGAGCTTAGTTCTTCACACAACAACACGGACGGAGACAACGAAATATCACCATTGTTCAAAGTCAGCTAGAGGAACTGGGTAACTCGGGTCGTAAGAGGCGAAGGAAGCTGCATTTACGTGAGTAGGCTCACCATCCTAGTTAAAACTGCTCTTTCCAGGCTGCTGCAAAGTTTCTAGCCTTCTAGCCTTCTAGCCACTGCAACCACCACTCTCGTGCTCGTCGCTAGTAAGCAATATATCACATAACTATGGAGTGCTAAACTCAAACAACCTTTCACCTTCTTCCAAAACAAGAGTGAGCACAATTCCCCGGCCGATCATACGACGGACCCCTACGCAAAGCTTACTGTACTATACATATCTTATATTTTATTCCATACACCATTTGCAAATACCAGTCGTGGGTTTTTTGGGCCGTCACGAGAATCTGACTAGTAACTACCCTTTTTTTTTCTCTCTGCATCAAGGGTTCGTGCCCACCAATCTTATCCCATGCAAACGCAGTGAATACAGACAATTTAATCCTCCGGTTTCCCCTCTTTTGTAAGATCTTTTCCAAATTAAGGTATCACGACTTCCACAGGTATTGGCAGCATTGCATTGTGTTGTACTCCGTACCTCCATCTGTCTTTTTATATTCGCAAGCACCGAGCACAAAGCTTTAGAAAAATGGAGGATACTCGATTTGATTCTTCTCGCAAACGGCCGCGGCCAGTTGTTTCTTGTTTACGATGTCGTGAAAAGAAATTGAAATGCGACCGACTTTTACCGTGTCAAAATTGTACCAAGATACCCAATGGATCAGCTGAATGTACTTACAATCACGACCCTACAAAATCCATTTCAAAATCAAGACCTTCAACACATTCACCAGGAGATCGTACTCCTGATCTTAAATTTACACCAAATATAGGAACAACTAATTCGAACATCATTCAGGTGAGTTATTTCATATGGTTTAATTCCTGTAAAAAACTTTAACAATAAAAAATACTGACTTTTTTCCCCAGGGCAATGGCGGGGTCGGCGTTGTTGAAGAGCTTCAATCCCGTGTCGCAAGGCTTGAAGAGTTACTTCAAGTCACTGGAAAGTTATCGAACATTCAAAAATTATCATCGCAGCCATCGCCAACTCACAGAGTTTCGAAACGTACAAATACTCCTTCAAGGTTGATACCGGGACTCTGCACCTTGATCGTGAAAGGGTCAAGGAGTAGATATCATGGTCAAAATGATCGGATCACCTTATTGAATCAGGCATGTATTTCATTTGGATCTATTCCTCCTTGTTCCTTCGATTGTATTGCTATACTAATATCATTCGTAGTTTCCCGAGGCAAAAGACTTCATAAACAACAGTGCAACAAGCAATGCTTCCATCATCAACCTTGCTAAAGATGTTCAATACCTACAGCAAAAATCTCAAAGTCATTTTAGGATGCGAAAAGAGACATTGAGCCAAGAAAGCGCTGCAGTCCTTTCAAAACTTCGAGAATTTCTTCCAGGAAAACCTGTTTGTGATAGGTTATTGAAGATCTATACTGATAATTTCGAAAAGAGTTCAAGAATCCTTCATGTGCCCTCCTTCCTTCGTCTCTACTCACACTTTTGGACTTCCCCCGACGATAAAATATTTCAATCGTCACCATTTCTACCTCAATTGACAGCTATACTAGCGATCTGTTACAAGTTCCTTGATAGCGATTCGGGATTTGACGATGACCAGAAAACATATTTGGAAATGGCATCACTCGAGCTTGTGGCGGCTTGGACTGATACTCTAAGTAGAAAGCAGGCAATTGATATATCGACTTTGCAAACCGAAACGCTGCTCTTGCTTGCTCGACAACTACAACTTATCTCTTCAGATAAGCTCTGGTGTGCCACGGGGGCTTTGGTTCGTTCTGCCATGGTAATGGGACTTCACTTAAGACCAGCGGACTTTAAGAAGATTTCACCGTTTCATGCCGAGTTAAGACGAAGACTTTGGGCTACAATTGTTCAAATGGATCTACAAGCATCCATGGCTGCGAGCATGCCCAGTATTGTTCCCGACATAGACTTTACTCAGTTGGCTCCAGCAAATCTGAATGACGCGGACTTTGACGAATCTACAAGTGAACTTCCTCCTTCAAGGCCTTTATATGAATGGACCGACTCTCTTGCCCAGGTCACGTTGGCGATGTCTTTGGCTCAACAACTCAAGGTGGTTTCACTTATCCGGGATATTAGTCCTAATATGGACCTCACAGAAGTTGTTCGGGAAGGAAGGAAATTGGAAGAGCTTTTACGACGTGTTCCAGCACCGCTCAAATTAGATGGAACACTTCAACGCTCCCCTTCTCATCTATTAGATTGTGTCTTGTTAGATATATACCTGAGGAGACCTTTTCTCAATCTTTACCGATTGCTTCTATGGGAAGAGCGACAAGATGATCCATTATTCCGAGAGATGCAACAAATTTGTTTGGAATCATCAGTTGCCATTGTGTCTTATCAAGATTATTTTGATCCCTCAGTGGCAGATTTGGATTTGTTGAGTACAAACTTACATTGGACAATGTTCCAAATTTGTTGCAAGAACGACGTTTTAGCCGCTGTCTTAAGTATCTGTCAATATATCAAAGCTTCCGCATCTGGGTCTCAAAGCAATGAGCCTAGTCCAGGGTTTACACCCAATCAATTCCCAGCAACCTTACCTAGCCCTCCAGCAACAAATAACCATTTTTCAAAAGCCCGGCTTACTAGGATAGTAGAAGGTACACTAGAAGGCTTCACCAAGAGAGTAGGG